TCCATCCATCCAACCATCCATCCATCCATCCATCCATCCATCCATCCATCCATCCATCCGTCTATCCAACCATCCATCCATCTACCCACCTATCCATCCATCTATCTATCCAACCATCCATCCATCCATCTATCCAACCATCCATCCATCCACCCATCCACCCATCCATCCATCCATCCACCCATCCTCCATCCATCCACCCATCCATCCATCCACCCATCCATCCATCCACCCCCTTTTACCTTAAATGCTAGTTCTTGTTGACACCACCCTCCAGCCCATTGCTGCTTGCAGTTCACTCTTCCTGTTGTAATCTGGGTTTGCAAGGAAAGTAATGTAATGTAGCACACATAATTTATAATATTATTTTATAGCAGTCACCCAAAGAGTCAACACAAAGTGTGCAGGAAATCTTTCCATACACTAAAGACTCCCCAGAATCCAGCTGAGGACCTGCATCCCATGGCAGTGTTCTGCATGAGTGCAGCTGAAGACCAAGAGCGCATTGTGATGTGTCGTGCAAGTCCGTGCCACGGATCTGCACAAGGCTGGCCCAAAGGTCGGTAGGGGATGCTAAAAAGTCTGTACCAGTGGGATGGAGGAGCTGTGCCAGCAGGCTGAGGGTTCAGCATTGGAGCCAGGAAGCAAGACTCAAAGCAAGGACCTGAGCTCACCTGGAAAGTACTGCAGGCATCCTCAGTGACAACGCAGTCCCGAGCTCTGCTGATGATGAGAACAGCCGCAGCAGGAAAGCAGCCCACCAGCCCTCCAGGAGAACCACAACACCCGGGGGAACCAGCGCCACCTCTTCCTCTCCAAGGCCTCCTTTTTTATGTCGGCAACCACCCCCAGGTGGGCCCCCACATCCCCACTACACCGATGTGGTTCAGCTGGGTGTTAGAAGTCGCCCACTGCTGCCAACCCAGCACGCTCCCTCCCCGCCTGCGTGTCTGTGGACAGCCTGCTCTGTGTTCACGGTGCAGCTCTGCGCAGTGCGCTGGTGCTCATGCGGCGTCGTTTAGCACTGTTAGCTCTGCGGGAAGCACAGCTACCAACCGGGCACCGTGAGCGTGTGTGCGTGTGCCTGTGAGTGTGTGCGCACGTGTGCTGTCCTTCTTTCTCTCTGTTTCTCTTCTTTTTCTTTTCCTTCCTCCTTCCAATACGCTACATACGCTGCTAGGAGGTGGGGTCCAGGGGATTGGGGATGCCTGGGCCCGTGACCTCCCCCCCATCTTCTCCTTTCCCCGTCTGCTTCCCGGATGGTGGGGAGCAGCTCTCTGCCCCCCGCGCCCTCACACCCAGCCGATTCCGCCTCGGAGCCAGCCCACTGTGGATGGCAACCGTGAGCAGAAACAGACGTCTCCTCCTCCAGGTTTCAGGGTCAGGGACTGTGCCTCAGTGACGAGGTGGCACGGAGACTCGGGGCGCTCAGTCCTAGCCTAGGAGGGTTCTGGCGGGTTCTCTGGGACACCCTCTGCCGACACTCGCATCATGGAGCCTGACAGGTTTTTTTCTTTTTTGCCAGTTTTCTTGTCGCTTTTTTGGGGGACGGGAATTTTTGGCGGCCCCGAATCTGCCTTTTTTGCTGACGTTATCATTCTGATCGCATCTTATCTCCTCTTCTGACATATTTTTACTTTTTCCAAGTATATTTATAAAATGTTTCTAGTGGTTGCTCTATAGTTTAAAAACATTTAGAAATAATTTGTATCTGTCTTCAAATAATATCATACCCTGCCCACGTAGAGGAAGAAGCTCCTAACACCGCACGCGGGATCCTCTCCTCCCATCCCCACCGGCGATGCTGTCTCATTTGAAATTGATCTAAACACAGAGCACGGTTGCCCTTTTTGCTCTAAACAGTTAGTTTTTAGTATTTAGGGCATAAAAAACCCTTTTATTTATCAGTCAACTACTGCATGTTCGATGCTCATTGCTTTGATAGACGCCAGTTTCCGACTTAATCACCCTCTGCCCACAGAGCTGCCTGTCACACCTGGGCTAGGTGGATCTCTGACAGCGAGTTCTTCCGGCCATTCCACACCTAAGATATTCTGCATTTGCTTTGTTCTGGCTGCAGGACTTTGAGTCAGCATTTCCCCAGTTCCCTGAGCATCTCCGTGGTGCTCCCCACCGCCTGCTGGCCAGCACAGCTTCTGGAGAGAAGTCCGCCGTAGGTTTTGTCCTTATGTCTCTGTTGGCAATGTGCCTTTTTCTCTATCTGGCTCTCAAATTCTTTTGCTTTTTTTGCAAGAGTCTGGATATGGTAGACCTGTGTGTGTGTGTGTGTGTGTGTGTGTGTGTGTGTGTGTGTGTGTGTGTGTGAAACCTGCCTGGTCCTATAAGTTCGTGTAGTTTCAGTCTAGTGTCCGTAACCATTTTTGGACATTTTAGAGCATTGTTATCCAGATCTCTCCCTCCTGCGCGCCCAGCCGCGTGTGCTAAGCCATCTCACCCTGTCCCGGGGCTCAGGAACTGTGCTTTTCCCGAGCACTCTTTTCTTTGTGTTTCTGTCTGGGTTCCTGCTACTGACTTGCTTCCAAGTTCCTGGGTTCTCCCCTTGGTTGTGTAAATTCCTGATGAAGCCATCGAGCCCGTCTTTGCTGCAATGATGGTTTCAAATATTCCCACCTGATTTCCTGTATTCTCATCTCTGATGAAATCTCCCGTCCGATCACGTGTGTTCCATTCCTTTTCCACAAGAGCTTTAACAGATACATTTGTTATTTTAAATTTCTTTTCTGATAGTTCCAAAATCTGTGTTATAGCTGAGTCTAATTCTTACAATGGTCTTTTTCTCTACAGATTGTTTAAAATTGCCGTAGGGATTAATGCCGGGCAATTTTTTTTTTTGTTGAAAGTTGTGGATTTGGGTTCTTTTCCTGGCCTTGAGCTTGTGACCCTCCTGCCTCAGCCTCCCAAGTGCTGGGAAAAGCTGGGCATTTGCACATTGGGGGCCAGCAAACTTGTCCCATAAGGAGTCAGAGAGTAAATCCTTTGGGATGGTGGGCCTCACAGAGTCCCTTGCCCTCGTTTGCTGCCTCTTCCCCTTCTTCGGCTCTTAAAGATGATGGCTTCACAAGGCCGCTGCCGTGCGGGGCTAAGGGGCTCAGGCTCAGGAAGCCGGAGAGGCTTCCCGGGAGAGGAGACTTTAGACTGAATTTTGAAGGCAACGTTGGCATTTCCCGAGGAGCAGGTGTGCATCTGTGGGAAGGGGAAGCCCCGCAGCAGAGTGGGGGCCTGCCCCTCGCCCCTCAGCACCCCATCGTCCACTGCAGCAGGCACTGGATGGGTTAGGAACACACATCCATCTTCTGCAAACCTGGCAATAAACGGCCTATTTCTGGGCTTGCAAGAACAGTTGGCAGGTGTCACAGCTCACTGTGAGTCCACTGTCCTCTGATCTTCTCATAGGCACGACTGCAGTTCGAGCTGGTTAGAGAGGTCGCACCAGCATGCATGGAGAGGTCTGGAATGCACTTTTCCAGGAGCAGGAGCTGCAGCCAGGGGTCAGTGGGTCTGAGCCCATGGCCATCCCTGCTCACAGGAGTCAGCACCAGGGGTCAGCCCAGAGAGGAGCCCCTGACAGCACAGCTGTTCCCTTCCTGGCTGACACTGCCCGCAGGGCCCGGTTGCTCCTTCTGAGAAAGGGACCTGAGGTTGTGCCCAGCCAGACCAGCGCCCTTCCCGTGGGGGACGTGGGGTGGCAAGGGAAGCTCAGTGTCCTTGCCCTGCAGCTGGAGCCTGGGCCAGTGTCCCTGTGGAGAGGGCAGGGGATGAGGCTGCTAACTACTTGGTGACACGGCTGCCACTGAGCTTGTGGGAGGACCCCAAGCCTGTCCCCCTGGAGGTGTCCCCATGTTTTTACCTCTTCCCCCATGCCTCAGAGCCTAAGGTCCCCAGCACCCTCCAGCAGTGTCATGGGCTGGAGACCAAGCCTTTGGCATCTGGCTCTGGGGGACCCTCATCCGAGCCATGGCATCTGCTGTTACCCCAGCCTCAAAGGGCTGCAGAGACTCTCAGCCTCACACCCCAGTCTGGTGACGTTGCCAGGTGACACAGGGTGACCCTGCCATGTACGAGGATGTGAGGAACAGGAGGGCAGAGACCTGCTCGTCACACAGAGCAACACTGCAGTGCAAGGTGTCTCTGCCTGTGGAACCAGGTACCTCCTCCCAGCATACCCCATGTTTTCCAGGACCCAAAGCCCTGAGTAGGCTGGAGCGGCTGGCAGGGCCTGGTGCCCAGGGCACCCGCAGGAGGGGACACCTGGCCCCCTGGCATCCCAAGAGCTCATGTCATCTCTGGCTGGCTGCTGGGCTCCTGCATTGATGAGTGGCCGTGAGTGGCCGTGGCTGTGCCCACGGGAGCAGGAGCAGGGAAAGGGGAGGGAATGAGGCTCTAGGGGAGCCCAAGCCAGACCTGCTGGCTGGTCTGGGCCCCAAGAACCTGCCCTCTGGTGGCAGGCAGTGGCTCGGGCCCGCTGGTCTCCAGGGAGATACCATGCCCGACCTATATTGGTGGCAGATGTGGTGACCGAAATGTCATGAGGCAGGGCCTTGGTTCCACACGACTTCATTAGAAACAAATCTCCAGGACTACAAAGAATGCAGGTGCCCCTGCGTATCTTGGAGACAGCAGGGGTGAAACCCGGAGGACTCCCCAGCCCCACTGCTGCCCAAGGAGCCGGATGAGTGGATGGAGCAGCAGCTGGGGCCAGACCTCGGCATTCAGAGGATGGGTCCCTCTCGGTGGCCTCGGGATGGCAGAGCCCAGAGCCTGGCTCCTCTGGCGTGGGTGTGAGATGTTCTTCCAGGGTCAGGCTGGCCAGTGGCTCTGAGCAGGGACAGGGACAGCCACTGTCCATCCCCAGTAGCCGCAGATGTCTGTCCTGTGCTCCAGGACAGGGACACAGGTGGGTAAAGGAGGTGAGAGCCCTGGATAACAGGGCTGGGACACAACAGGGGCCGGTAGGCAACCAGGAACACATTACCCGGAAATCCAAGCTCTTAAGTATTTTATCATTAGTGGTTCTTTCAAGGTGTCAAGGCTCATCCCTGCCAAACACATTTTATTTGCTCAAACTGACGAGGCTGCGGAGGCCCAGCAGGGCCACCCTGTGGCAGTGGTGAGGGGAGTCCAGCCTTGTAGGCCAGCGTCCGCATCTGCAGCCACGCTGGGACACTCGAGGCCCCTCGGTTCTGTGACTCTGTCGGTGGCAGAGACAGACGTGGCCTGGCCTGTTTCTGGGCGCGCGTGCCATGCCTACTGCAGGAAGGCCCGCAGGAAGTCGTTGTAGGAGACCTTGGAGGACAGGGTCTTGTCGTAGTACTCAAGCAGGTGGAAGAACTCCTCCTCCGACAGGTTGATGCTGAACTGCCTCAGCACCTGGGGACGAGGGCACCTGCGGCTCCCGGGTCGGCCGAGACTGTGCCTGCCTCTCCCCAGCCCCCGCAGCCACCAGGTGCCAGCCTGTGGCTCCCAGAGTCACGAAGCTCTCTGTGGGCCTTGCAGCCCGTGGCCCCAGCGCGTCCTGCTCTCCTCTGTCCCCTGGCAGGAGCAGCCGAGGCAGCCCTGCCCATTTCCCATGGTCGGGAAGCAAAGGCCAAAAGACGCCTTGAGAGGGACCAGCCTTTGCATTGGGACAGCTGACCCGGGCCTCGGCCACCCAGGGCCTGGCCTGGGCTGTTGGCCTATGCCGGGTGGATCAGTACCGCTGTGGGCCGGGGCCAGGCTCTGTGCTGGCTCTGTGGGGAGGCTACTGTGCCTGCAGCAGGGCCACCGAGGCGCCCTTCCGGTTTGCAGTGAGGCCGGGGCTGAGGCTTAGATGGGGCTAGGGACCGGGTCCAGGCTGGCCAGGGTTCTGGGCCGAGCAGTGGCTGCCAGCAAGGGCCTCCGGTGAAGCCGGGCTGGCAGGGGCTCTAAGCGGGGTGCGGGGTCCCCCTCCCCAGGGACTCACCTTCCTGAAGTCATCCGCGCTCAGGATCCCCGTCCCGCCCTGGTCGTAGGCTTTGAACATGCGCCGCATGGGTCTCCAGCAGTGCAGGATCTTGGGCTGGATGCGCAGCAGAGCCGCGTAGAAGGAGCATGACTCGGCCCCGGCCTCTTTCTAGAGACAGAGTGGGAGGAAGGAGCCTGGGCGGGGAGGTGGGCACGGGGCGGCGGGGAGGGCTGTGACCTCCGGCACTCACAGGGTCCTTCCCTCTGTGCAGGGAGCCTGCACACTGCTTCCGGAAGGAGGGGTCACAGACTGCAGAAACAGGCCTGGGGGACGTGATTCCAGCCGGCTGTGACCCCAGGACACAGCAGGCCAGGTCCCCCTTCCAGGCTCTGAGGGCGAGGGCTGGGCGGACACCAGCCAAGGTCACAGCAGTCTGATGGGGAGAGAGAAACCCCAGGCTGGTGCTTTGAGCAGGTTGTTATAACAGAGAGTGGTTAAAAAAAAGTTGCCAAGGCTGTAATTATATCCCGTGATTAGACTGCACTGTGATTATTTCATTTAGGTGCTTTAGAGGGAAGACAGGATCCTTCAGCCCCAACACAGGTCCGAACATTGGGAAGGTGAGCCACAGGCAGACCCGTGACGCGTTTTGGGGAAGTTTCATTTTAAAGGGGTGCTTCATGAAATCAGCTTTCCCTTCTGACGGTCAGTACTTGTGACGGAAACTCCCCGGGCCCCCAGGGCTTTGTGAGCTGCTGACCTGCCCCACGGGGGTCCACAGGCTGTACAGCCCCCACCACTGTCTGGGGCTGCCAGGCCGGCCTGAGTCCTCCGAGGTGACCCCAGCACTGCAGGAAATGGCAGTGCCTGAGCTGTGTCCCCAAAGGGGTGAAGGTCGGACAGCAAAGTCCCAAACAGCCAAACGACAACCCCCTTTAGCTCCTCGGCAGGAGAACTTGTGGCCTGAGTGCCACACTCACGCAGTGGAGGTCTCAGCAGCTCCCGAGGGACAGGGGCCGTGACTAGAGCCACGGGGGCTCTCTCCTGGGAGGCCGGGCAGAAGGGCTACACGGCCAGAGTCTCTCCCGCCATGTTCCAGGCCCCCTGTCGAGCGAGGGCAGCGTCTTCCCAGCTCCTGGGAGAACCCAGCCAGCCTGAGCACCCTCGAGTCTACCACGCCTCCAGGACTCTGTGAACAGGCCTCTGCCATCAGCTCCTGGCTATGCGGGAAGAGAGCCGGTGAGGACACTTCCTGACCTCACTCGTGTTACAGACCAGCAGTGTGGAAGGCCTCTGTGCCCACGTCTGTTCTGCTGACCTGCTTTCGGGATGAACCTGTGCACAAACCCCCCAGGGCCTACGCCTCTGTCCCCCGGGGCCTACGCCTCTGCCCCCCCCTACGCCTCTGCCCCCCCGGGGCCTACGCCTCTGCCCCCAGGGCCTACACCTCTGCTCTCAGGGCCTACACCTCTGCCCCACCGAGGCTGCAGTTGGCCCTGTGCGGTCCCTGAATTTGTTGCCTTGGTGCTTGATGCAATTTGGTTCAATGTTGCAGACATAGAAGAGCTTTAAACCTGTTTTCTGACATTACGTTTTTGTGTTCTGTTTTTTTTCTCTAGTTTTATTTTTGAGATAGGGTTTCACTAAGCAGTTCAGGCTGGCCTTGAATTCACTTGGAGCCCAGACTGGCCTTGAATTTGCGTGGTGATCTTCCTGCCTCAGCCTCCCAAGCGCTAAGATCACAGGTGTGCGTCCCCACGCCTGGCTTGTTTTGCTTTTTTTTTGGTCTTTTTTCCTTTTTATCAGTACCAGGGATCGAACTCATGACCGCCTCCTCGCAAGGCAGGCGCTTATGCCACTGAGCTAAATCCCCAGCCCCTTGTTTTGCTTTTGAGCCCTGGTTTCGCTATTAGTTCAGGCTGGCTGTGAGTTCCCTGTGTAGCTCAGGGCTGCCTTGAACCCATATTCTGGAGAGACTTGGGGTGTGGAGCTCGATGACACAGTTAGACATGACTGAGACTCAAAGCCGGTTCCAGAAAAGCCATGAACCTTGATGCCCCCCCCCCAAATCTTTAGATCCCGGCTCCTCTCCGAAGGGACAGGGATCCGGCCCCACCCACACTGCAACCTGGTCTCCTGCCCGTCTGGTCAACCGGCGCATGCAGGATTTGTGTCTAAGTTCAAAGTGTGTAAGTCTGCCGGGACCCCCACCCACTCACATGCCCGTTTTGCCTCCTGTGTTAACTCGCAGGTCCTGTCACTCTGATGATTTTGCTGCTCTGGAAGAGCTGCTGGAAATAGGTGTCCCCAGACCCACAGGGCTCCCAGGGGGACACAGGAAATCTCTAACCTATGCCCAAGAAAGTTCAGTTTCTTTTTTTTTTTTTTTTTTGACACTGGGAATCGGACTCAGGACCTTGTGCTCGCCAGTCAGGTGCTGTGTCACTGAGCTACATCTCTGGCCCTAGAAAGTACATTTCCGAGGTGTCTTTAGTGTCCCCAGAGCCAGGTGGAGACTCGTTCACCACCCTTGGCCCAGGTGCCAGCCAAGACATGCAGACCCCGCGGGCTGGGGCCGCCTTCCCTGCCTGCAGGTGGGGAGGAACAGGGGACAGGCAGCGGGGCGGGGATACAGGGACACGCTGGGGTGACAAGCCGGGGCCACCCCGGGCGCTGCCTACCATCTTGTGAGTGTTCTGGATCTTCAGGCGCCGCATCAGCGAGGTCTCCGTGGCCCTGAGCAGGAGCACGCAGTTCTGGATGAAGTCGCAGTAGGCGAACGTGCCGTTGTTCTTCAGGTCGTACTTGGTGAGCAGCTGCTGGCTCTCCTCCTTGCTCAGGTCCAGGCGGAACTGCTGCACCAGAGCTGCGGGCGAGAGGGGTGGTGGGCGCAGCTCGTACCCTCCCTCTCCCTCTCCCTCTCTCCTCTGTCCTTGTGTTCACTTGCTCCGCTGTGGGCCCTGCGTGCAGAGCTCGGGGTGGCTGGAAGGACGCACAGCCACGTGTGGGAATAGACACAGCCAACTGTTGCAGGAAGGGGCCCCTGTGTCCTGCTGGCCTGCACTATCTGGGTAACCTGCTGTCCTGGTCACCAGAGCTATGGTCCTTGTGCGAGGGCGGAGCCTGGCAGGAGCCAGGGTGAGAGGGGGAGGGACTGTTCCCAGAGGACAGGGCCTGGGCCCACGGGTACAGGGGCTGGGGCGGCTGGGCTCCAGGCGGTAGGGACAGTGTTCAGGCCTCCTGACCACAGACTGCCCTCTGTGTAGGGGAGAGTCACTGGCTGTGAGCACTGACAAGTGTTTCAGGTCTGGTGACATCTGTGGTCTATGACAGCCGCCCTGGAGCACGGGGACTCTGAGTGGACTTCTGTGTCCAGGTCTGAGCCCGGCTTTCTGATGGGGGTCACGCTGAGGCCACCTGGAGTGAGCACATCTTAATGCTGGGCATTGGCGTTGCCCTCCTCCACCCCCTCGTGCCCCCATGTCTGTGTGCAGTTCCCTTCCCAGTCACACAGACGGTGCTGGAGAGACACTCGGGTAGGACAAGACTGTGACACAGCAGACAGCCGTCCACTCAGCCTCATCCCAGGACAGGTCAAGGCCGGGCGGCGGGGCTGTGCTAGCGGCAGAGGCTGAGAAGGAAGCGGGCATGGGGCAAAGGCTGGGTGTCTCTGTGTGTGCGCTTGGGGGTGGGAGATCACGCCGCGGGGCAGCAGGGGCCCACGGAGCCCAGGGACCTCCTTCCAGCACACCCCTCTGCAGGCTGCAAAACAGGGTGCTTGGAAATGTGCAGCTCCTCCCTAGTGCTGAATTCTGCACGCCCTAACGAGGGCTGAGCATAAAGGGCGAGTGAGTCACACGATGGCGGGTGAGCAGGAGGAAGACAGCAAGGATCACCCGAGCAGACCCAGGAGCGAAGGTCCATCGAGCTGCACGCAGTGTGCCTCGAAACCGCCACGGCTCAGCCAGCTTCCAGCCAGAATGCGGCCTGTGTGACACTCTTTAGTTGTTACTGAATCCATGTTTTTAGATTTAATTTTTAAGCATTCTTATAGGAGCTGTTAAAGGGCTTGCAAACTGGGCGTGGTATGACATGCTTTGTGATCCCAGCACTTGGGAGGCTGAGGCAGGAGGATCGCTGTGAGTTCGAGACCAGCCTGGGCTAGAAAGTGAGCTCAAGGCCAGCCTGAACTGCAGAGAGAGACCCTGTCTCAAAAGACCAAAAAAAACCAAAAAGATTTTACAGCCTGTTTTGCTTGTGCCTTTTTGACCGTGAAAGTCGGGATGAAGGCATCTCTGTCGGTGTTGGAGGGGCCCAGAGAAAAGCTGGGGCTCAGTCTGTGTTGACGAAATGTAAGATGGCCCATGACACTGAGTATACATCCCACCGGTTGCCTTTGCAAAGCTTGGCCAAGCGATCAAAACAAGAAAACAGAAGATGGGGCCATGTGGGTGCAGCCCCGGGAGTGTCCCCACCGGCCACCTGCCCCCTTCTGCCTTGCCCCCTCCCCTCTCCACTGTCCCAGTCTGGGGACACTTGCGTTCTCCCAGCGAGCACAGTGACCTGGTGTCCAGTACTGAGAGCCAGTGGGATGTAGATTGTGCCCGGGGGTGTCACAGCCCGCTCCCCGTCCCAGGGCACTGTGAAAGGTGCCCTCATCTCCCATGCCCTTGCCTCCACCCCAGTGTGGGCTGGGCCTGGCGGGAGGCCTCTGCCAGCTGGGTGATGGGATGGCCACACGCACCCAGGAAGTCGGGCGCGGCGATGGTGCCCAGCCTCGCCAGGTCCTTCTCCTTGCAGTCCTTCAGCAGCGCCCGCCAGCAGCCCTGGACCTGCTTCCGGAGCCGGCTCTCCACCGGCTCGCAGTTCTGCAGCGGCAGGTCACCTGCCGGGGTCTGCGGGGCAGAGAGGTCCACTCAGTGCGGGTTCCAGGCGGCCCAAAGGCAAAGGTGCAGACAGGACACGGGGCGGGGTCACAGGGCTACAGCCGTGTCAGCTCACAGGTAGGACGGAACAGCAGGGACAGACTCGTGCAACTTAGCTTTGCTTTCCATCGGTGTTGGGGGACAAATCCTAACTGCCCAGACAGTTTTGGAAATCAATGAGTAGCCACAGTCGAAGCATGCTGGTGGTGTGGGCTGTGTTTGTCACTGTGTGTGTGTGCTGTGTGTGTGTTCGGTGTGTGTGTTGTGTGGTGTGTGCGGTGTGTGATGTGTGTGGTGTGTGTGGTGGCTTTGTGTTGTGTGTGTGCAGTGTGTGTTGCATGGTATGTGATATGTGTGGGGTGTGTGGTGTGTGATATGTGCGGTATGTGTGGTGTGTGTTGTGTGTGGTGTGGTGTTTGTAGTGTGTGGTGTGTGTGGTGTGTGATATGTGTGGTATGTGTGGTGTTTGTAGTGTGTGGTGTGTACGGTGTGTGGTATGTGTTTGCATTGTGTGTGGTGTGTGCCGTGTGTTTGATGTGTGTGTGTTGGTGCAGTGTTCACTTGAGGAAAGGTCTTATGCCAGATTTTCTCATCTTCTGTCCATGATCCGGGCTCCTCTCTGGCTTCCCACACTGCATGCCTGGTGGCCCGGCTGTCACCAAGGCCAGCGGCCCAGCTGGGCCTCCCCAAGTCCTGCCTCTGGCCCGACTCCCTCCCAAGAGGGCCTCTTGCGATGGCCGGAGCCGGCCGTGTCCTGCTGGACAGTCCCTATCCGCAGCAGCCGGCAGCAGCTAGTTCCATCTGCAGTTGATGCCACTATCAGGCATAGATTCCAAGGGTCAGGGCGGGGACACTGTGGGGTGCTCCTGACCCCCATTCTGCTTCACTTCTGTTCTGGACTTACTGGTGATGACTCACGCTCCCGCCCACCCTGTCCTGTGACAGCGCAGCCCCATGCACCAGGGCCTCTGTCGTGGGACCTGCAGGGGCACCTGCCACGTGGCAGTCATTGTGCACTGCAAGAATGCACGAGTGACCTGTCCTCTCTCTGGGGGGTCACACCCGGGGCTGTATGCTGGGGGACACCTCCTCCCCTCTTCCTTCCCTGGACACACACTCTGCGCACAGGAGAAAGCTCCCATGCCCATCTGGGCACCTCCCTCTGCTCCCTCCCAGGCTGGGCGCTGTGCAGCCCGGGTTCTGGGTTCCACCCCGACGGGAACACAGGGGTTCATTTACCAGACTGCGCCACCTGCGGGAAGGGCAGGAGTGCACCTGTGTGCCACCCCCAGGTGTCTCCTCGCCACAGGTGCCGCCCGCCCTCCGCTCCTCCCGCTTTTCCTTCCCTTCCAACCCCCTCCGCCCTTCCCCAGCAGCCCCAAGGCCCCCGACAGCTCGGCTGGGCTGGGCTCCGGGAGGTTTGTGGATCTAGTGTGAGGTGGCGTGGGGCGCTTGTCAGGGTGGCACTCACACAGGGGTGACTCCGTGACTTCAACTCGGCCCTCAGGTCACGCGTGGGTGAGGAGATGGCAGATTGGGTTCTGTTGGAGACCTGGGGGACACTGCTGCCCTTCTGGGCCTGCACCGAGTCCCCCGTGGCCGGCGGCGAGGCCACCTGCTCCACGCCGAACCTGCTCAGGAATTCCTGGTACTTCAGCCTGCCCCTGGCGGTCACTGGCATCTCGCCCCACAGCCTGTCAAACTGGAGGAAGCAGAGGGCAGCGTGGGTCAGCGTGGACGGCAGGAATCCCGGAGCCCCACCTGCGCGGCGGGGTCAGGGTAGCACAGGGCTGAGGCCTGGCAATGCAAAAGAAAATGGGGGTGGGGGGGAGCCCGTTTGGCTGTGCTTGGTGGAAGCCTGTGAAAGGCTGGGAGAGCGGAGACAAGAGGATTATTCATGGCTTCTGCAGGACATTTTTTAATTGAATTGGGCCTTTAGTGAGCCGTTTAAGGCCATTAAATCTTGTGATTAGTCACAGTGACTGAGCCGCAGTGTATGAAAACATTTTAGGAGAAAATGCAAATCCCAGCCCTGGCCCACCTTGGTCCCGGGAAGCCGGGTCTGGATCATTTCTCCTCCTTCCCCTCCACCCGACTCCTGCACACAGCTCATCGGTGATGGTGACGCTGCCTCAGCCACCAAATTTGCATCCACAATTTACTCCACCCTCGGGGCCAAATGTCTGCTCGCAAGATGAAAAGAGCGAGCGTCTGGAAATCCGGAGAGAAGTTTATGGCTTTGTGTTGTTGCTAGCGACACCACAGAGCGAATCGGGACCACACGCGGCACCCGGAGAGCGCCAGGCGTCCTGCATGAGCCATTTCTCACAAGCTGGGGGGCTCCGGGGGAGCCGGGAGGCGTGGGAACCTGCTTCCAATTTGATTTTGTGCACAGCGCTAGAACCTGACGGAGCCTGAAGCTTCAGCAAGGGCTGAGTGTGAAGCAGCCAGGGAGACAGGGGAGGAGAGGAGAGATGGCAGACGGGGCCCAGACTCCCCTTTTCCTCTCTGTCCTGCACCCCAGTCCCAGCCCCAGCCCAAGGCTATGCCAGAAACCGAGTTTGCTCGAGGCCTCCGCTGAGTTTTGCACTCAGGTTACATGCACATGAAGCCTCCACACCAGCCTCGAGCTGCCCGTCGCCGCCTGTGGGTCCCCGGACAGATGATCCCAGCTCTGGGACTTACGGGCCACGGCCACCACGACAAGCACACTTGGGCAGAGAGGTCTGCCGTGGGGCCTTAGAGCGAATTCAGAAGCCTGGGTTAGGAGGGATGGAGTGTGTTTGCACAGCTCTAGAAATTACAGGAAAATAAAAACTACGCTGAAATGCAACAATTCTATCAGAAAGGTAACAATGAAACGCACGGAGTCTCGGCTTCTCATACCAAATGGTCCTCCCTGGGCTCTGCTGAGCGGTCCTCATCTAAGGCTGCTGGCAGCTGGCTGGGACTCCCGAGGCCCAGAGCTTCCCAGCGCCTGTCCAGTGCGGTCACTGCCTGCCGTGGGAGCACTGTCTCCCGCCCAGGTGCTGCTCCTGCTTTGGAGCTGAGTGACCAGGAGTCCTCACCCCATCACAGGCCAAGGAAGCCCCCCACCCCACCAACAGAGCCTGGACCCTCACTGCTTCTCAGAGACCCTGGGTTCCAACCCTCACCAGTGCGTCCCTCCCTGCAACCTCAGCCGCCAACCGCCAACCATCCTCTCTCTGGACTCCTCTCCCCCGCCTGGGGCCATCCATACTCCTCCCCCAGCTCCCCACCCTCAAGCCTCTCTAACACAGCTGAGATCCCAGCGATGACCCTCTGTGATTCTCTTCTGCTCTGAGCCCACCTGGCGACTCTGTGACGGAACACAATAGCCCCGGGACAGTAGATGATGTCCCACAGAATTCCCTTGGGTTAAATTCAACCAAGGAGCAGCTCGTGATGAAAGCCACCGAAAACATGCAGAAGCAGTCACCAGGAAGGGGAGCCGGCCCAACAAGCTAAGGCAGATTTCGACTTCAGATACTGGCTGCTAGAGAACAGACGATCATACGTAACACACGCTGGAATCACCTGAGAGCCAGCTGGCCCCGTCCTGGAGTTCTGACTCCCGGGTGTCTCACAGGACATCACCTGATAGCGACAGCAGCACAAGCTACGGCAGACTACTGTTGTTTAAACCGTTAGGAGGAAATTACTATCAACTTACCACTCCTCGCACCAAAACATTTCCTTTAAAATATGGCAAAACAGCTGAGTGTGATGGAACAGGCCTGTAACCCACCACTCCGGAGGCTGAGGCCAGCCGGGGCTACACAGTGAGTTCAAGGACAGCTTGATCTACATGTGTCTCTCCTCTCCTTCCCGCCATCCTTTCCCCATCTCTCTCATGTGAGACATATAGTTATAGATATTTACAGATCAGTAGATCATGAACAAAAGGTTACTTCACGAAGAAAACGGTCCCAGAAGAAAGGTCTACAGTGTAAGTAGCAAAGAAGGTAACACTAAAAAAGCACCAACTTTATAGAGCAAACCACTCTAAGGTTTAATTTATACAGAAAAATGATAAGATGCATCTAAAATATTAAATAAATAGTAACACGAAGCCCAAGGAGAATCACAACAACTTAATAACCTTGGGGGCCGAGGACAAAGGGGATGCTTTACATTGGATTTTATTTTATAACACTTGGCAAAAATTTAAGGGCAATGGCCACTTACTGGTTAAAAGAACAAAATTAGATATATAACTTATAGAACTTAGAAGGTTAGAAAAACAATAAGCTCAATCCAAAAGAAAAAGATGGTAAAGAATATAAAACATGAGTATTAGGTAGTATTAGCACAATATTGGATAATAGGCACCTGGCCATCGGTGTGCAGAGGAGGAGCTGGGCGGATCTGGGGTGCTGCATCGGCCTCTCTGCGTGTCTGGAGGACTCTGGATATCTCCGCCCAGACTGTTGGAGTCCCCCCAAGCTTCCAGGTGCAGTGAAGGGGAGAGGTGGGTTTGAGGCTTCCACATCAGCCTCCCCATTCCTGTTGCACTTGGAGAACTGCTGAGCTCCCGACGGGTGGGCAGGCCCACACTATCAGCGGAGCCCAGCCTGTTTTGCGGCCACGCCTAGCCATCGGTGTACAGAGGAGGAGCTGGGCGGATCTGGGGTGGGGGCTGTGGATATCTATGCAAGCAGGGAGGGACCACAGGTTCCTGAGGCACCAAGGCCTGTGGTGAGTACCCTAACCCGGCTGCGATTGAAGAACTGTGGAGCTTCCAAGGGGCAGGTGGGCGCACAGTGTCCCTGAGGCTCAGCTTGTCTGGAACTGCGGAGTTCTGAGCAGGCAGAGGAGGGCCATTGGTTCTGTAGGCCCAATGGCTTGGGGTAGCGTGGTGCCAGAGTCTCAGTAGCTGCAAACATAGAAGGGGATTTTCAACAGATCCTGAGGAAGCTTTCAAATAACACTTGAAACACAGAAATATAGGAAAATGACAAAACGAAAGACCAAATTACAACCTCAAACCTCCAGCCCATCTCAGGAAACCCTAGGAGCGATGTATATAGAAGAAAATATATCCCATCCACCTCATATATCGGACACAATAGCTACTGAAATTGACAAGCAACTCCAGGAAGCTTTAAAGAAATTCAAACTCGAAATAATCTCCCAGATAAAAGAAGAAATGATAAAAGAAATGAAAGAGATTCTAAATATATCTAAAGAAAACACAGATAAAAAATTGGAGGAACTAAACAAAAAGATAGAATCCCTAGACGAGCAATATAAGAAACAAACAGAATACATAATGCAGATGCACAGAGATATACAGGAAATAAAAAAACTCCACTGAAAGTTGTAAAAACCGCCTTAATGAAAGTGAAGATAGAATTTCAGACCTTGAAGACAGGATTGCAGCTAGTGAACAGGAAAGGAAAGATCTTTTAAAAATAACAAGGAATCAGGAAACAACAATTCAACAAATGCAAGATGATGCAAAGAAGAATAACATAAGAATGATAGGGATTAATGAAAGAGAGGGAGACAACATGAAGGATGTCAGGAGGATATTTAGAGAAGTAATAGCTGAAAATTTCCCAAGCATGAGATCAGAAACTGACATCAGGATCAGTGAAGCATATAGAACTCCAAATAGTCATAACCAAAATAAAACTACACCCAGACATATAATAATCACCATCCCAGAAATCCAACACAAGAATAGATTACTAAAAGCTGTCAGAGAGAAAAGACAGATCACCTATAAAGGAAAACCTATCAGAATCACAGCAGACTTCTCAGCACAAACGATAAAGTCAAGAAGAACATGGAGTGAAATATTCCACATCCTAAAGCAAAATGATTTCCAACCAAGACTGATATATCCTGCAAAACTATCATTCAAAATAGATGGTGAAATACGATACTTCCATGACAAAGAACAGCTGAAGAACTTCATGAACACCAAACCAACCCTGCAAAAAATATTGAAAAACAGTTTAGATACACAAAGGAAAAAACCACTAAGCAAAGCAAATAATTAAACAGAACAGAAAGATAAAGATGCAACAGCAGAGAGATAACATTCCTACAATTAACCAGCATTTAACAGTAATAACCATTAATGTAAATGGTCTCAATGCACCAATCAAAAGAAACAGACTAGCAGAATGGATCAAGAAACAAAATCCAACCATATGCTGTTTACAGGAAACCCATCTAACCCAGAAGGATACTCACAGACTGAAAGTCAAAGGATGGAAAACAATTCTTCATGCAGCAGGAATCCAAAAAAAGGCAGGAGTAGCCATTCTGTTTGCAGACAACGTGAACTTTAAACCAACAATGACCATAAAGGACAAAGAAAGTCACTACATACTCGTAAGGGGAAAACTCCAAGAGGAAGAGATAACTATCTTAAATATATACGCACCTTAAAAAGAATTGTCTATAAAAGAGAGGGAAAAAAAAAAGAAAAAAGAAAAAGAGCTCTAACGAATATAACAGCAAGTGTGTTTAGGGGTGTTAAATAGCTGACTATATCAATGTTTTTGGATCATTGAACACAGCTGTTTGCAGTCTCCCTGTTTGAATGTCCACCTTGTATTCTTTGATACTGTGATTTGAGCAACTATTTTCAAGATGATAATATGTAATCTACTAACAGGTGATTTCTTACTGTTATGTTTTTTTTTTTGTAGTTCTGTATTATGTGTA